GATTGGTCCAAACGCTCTGAGCCGCTCTCACTCCAGTCGTCCCGCGGGTGGGAGGAGCTCGCCCGGATTCAGGTAAATGTAAACGCGGAAGAGAAACAGACGACTGAAAACGACACGAGAGACACGAGTCTGAAAAACAACTCAGAGATGATCCACGTCGGCGATAAACTTTAAATATTTACAGTTTAAATGTCCTGTTCATGTCTTTTTACTAATAAAGAAAATAAGGAAACATAAAGAACTGTTGATTTTAACGCCACACGTCTTAAACTTCTGTCACATTTTTGAATACGTTTTGATCATGTTTTTTGTTTTTTGGTTTTTTTGTGCAGAATTCGGCCAAAGGTTCTCAGCAGTCTCCGTGGAGGACCAACGCAAAGTGAGTCAATCTTCTCGGTTTGGTTTTATTTTCATACAGAGACAAGAGCAAAAAAATAAAATAAAATTTAAAAAAATGTCGTCTTTGCTCTTTTAGCGCCGGTTTTATTTTGTTTTTTTTGGCAGAGTGAACGGAGCGCCGTCCCCCCTCGCTCTTAGCCCCTCCCCCGCGGGAAACGGGGCGGGGCCAGGCTCAGGGGGCGGAGTCGGCGGAACGGGAACGGGAAGCGTGTCGATTCCTCAGAGGATCCACCAGATGGCGTCGAGTCACGTGACCATCACCAACAACATCCTGCGAAGCTACGAGCACTGGGAGACCGCGGACCGCCTCAGCGCCGACTGTACAGGTACTAAACCAGGACTAAACCAGGACTAAACCAGGACTAAACCAGGTCTAAACCAGGTCAGTCTAAACCAGGACTAAACCAGGTCTAAACCAGGAACAGGACTAAACCAGGACTAAACCAGGACTAAACCAGGACTAAACCAGGACTAAACCAGGACTAAAAGGACTAAACCAGGACTAAACCAGGACTAAACCAGGACTAACCAGGATAACCAGGACCAGGACTAAACCAGGACTAAACCAGGACTAAACCAGGAAACCGTCTAAACCAGGACAAACAGGACTAAACAAACCAGGACAAACCAGACTAAACCAGGACTAAACCAGGTCTAAACCAGGACTAAACCAGGACTAAACCAGGATCTAAACCAGGACTAAACCAGGTCTAAACCAGGACTAAACCAGGACTAAACCAGGACTACTAACCAGGTCTAAACCAGGAAACCAGGACTAAACCAGGTCTAAACCAGGACTAAACCAACTAAACCAGGACTAAACCAGGACTAAACCAGGACTAAACAGCCAAACCAGGACTAAACCACTAAACCAGGACTAAACCAGGTCTAAACCAGGAGTCTAACAGGACCAGGACAGACTAAACCAGGACTAAACCAGGTCTAAACCAACAGAACCAGGACTAAACCAGGACTAAAACCAGGACTAAACCAGGACTAAACCAGTCTAACCAGGACTAACCAGGACTAAACCAGGACTAAACCAGACTAAACCAGACTAAACCAGGTCTAAACCAGGACTAAACCAGGACTAAACCAACTAAACCAGGTCTAAACCAGGACTAACCAGGACTAAACCAGGACTAAACCAGGACCACTAAAACTAAACAGACAAACCAGACTAAACCAGGACTAAACCAGGACTAAACCAGACTAAACCAGGACTAAACCAGGACTAAACCAGGCTAAACCAGGTCTAAACCAGGACTAACCAGGAAACCAGGACTAAACCAGGTCTAAACCAGGACTAAACCAGGACTAAACCAGGACTAAACCAGGTCTAAACCAGGTCTAAACCACTAAACCAGGACTAAACCAGGACTAAACCAGGTCTAAACCAGGACTAAACCAGGTCTAAACCAGGACTAAACCAGGACTAAACAGACTAAACCAGACTAAACCAGGACTAAACCAGGTCTAAACCAGGACTAAACCAGGACTAAACCAGGACTAAACCAGGACTAAACCAGGACTAAACTAAACCAGGAACCAGGACTAAACCAGGTCTAAACCAGGACTAACCAGACTAAACCAGAAAACCAGGACTAAACCAGGACTAAACCAGGACTAAACCACTAAACCAGGACTAAACCAGGACTAAACCAGTCTAAACCAGGACTAAACCAGGACTACTAAACCAAGTCTAAACCAGGACTAAACCAGGTCTAAACCAGGACTAAACCAGGACTAAACTAAACCAGGACTAAACCAGGTAAACCAGGACTAAACCAGGACTAAACCAGGACTAAACCAGAACCAGGACTAAACCAGGTCTAAACCAGGACTAAACCAGGACTAAACCAGGACTCAGGACTAAACCAGGTCTAAATCAGGACTAAACCAGGACTAAACCAGGACTAAATCAGGACTAAACCTGGACTAAACCTGGACTAAACCTGGACTAAACCAGGTCTTCACTTGCTCTTTGTGTGTTTGTTTTTCAGATTTCTTCGTGGAGCTGGACTCTGTGATGGAGCCTCTGACGCAGCAGAGCAGCATGAGCGCCCTCGTCAGGTACGTCCGACAGGGCCTCACCTGGCTGCGGATCGACGCCAACCTCACCTGAGCGGCGCTAAAGCTGGAAACAAACCCACAAGGACTACAACTCCCACCACAACGCCAACCATAAAACTACAACACCCAGGACTACAAACAAGAGGTGCAATGAACTACAACTCCCACCACACTGCCCAGGACTCCAGCAGGGGCTCACCTGGCTATGCTATGCTAACAGTACTGCTGAAACTACAAAACCAAGGACTACAACTCCCACCACACTGCCAAAGACGTGCTCGTCTGATAAGTACATCACAAAAAACTACAGTTCTGACAAGGACTACAACTCCCAAGAGTCCAACAGTGACAATCTGTGTGTCGTCCGTTCATTTGTTTTTCAAAATAAAAACTAAAATAAGAAAATGAAAAAAAAAAAACTATTTTCTTCATTATTTGTCTTCAAAAACAAAATGAAAAAACAGATAATGATTCATTTTTACAGTTTTTGATTTTGTGTTTAAATGAAAAATGGAAAAAACGGATAATGGACTAAACCAGGACTGAACCAGGACTAAACCAGGACAGGACTTGGACTAAAACAGGACTAAAACAGGACTGAACCAGGAGTAAACATTTTTCAGTCCTGGTCTCAGTCCCGGTCCTGTTTCCAGTCTCAGTCCTGGTCTCAGTTCTGGTCTGGTCCTTGTCTGGTCCTGGTGGTTCTGGTTCCAGTTTCAGTCCTGTTCTCAATCACGGTCTGGTCCTGGTCCTCGGTCCTCGGTCTCTGGTCCCTGGTCTCAGTCCTCAGTCTCTGGTCTGGTCCCAGTCCTGGTCCCGGTCTCGGTCCCAGTCCTGGGCTGGTTTCAAACTCAGTCCTGGTCTGGTCCAAGTCTCAGTCCCGGTCTGGTCCCGACCTATGTCCTGGTCTCAGTCCCAGTCTGGTTCCAGTCTGGTTCCGGATGTGGTTCAGTCGTGTTTTAGTCCTGTTTTAGTCCTGTTTTAGTCCTGATTTAGTCCTGATTTAGTCCTGATTTAGTCCGTTATCCGTTTTTTCCATTCATTTAAACACAAAATCGAAAACTGAAAAAAAAACGACTCATTATCCGTTTTTCATTTGGATTTTCGAGACAAATAATAAAGAAAATCGTTGTTTTTTTTTTCATTTTCTTATTTTTGCTTTTATTTTGAAAAACTAATGAATGAACGACACACGGCTCAGCGACTCACCTGGTCACGGCTCCACGTCAGCCTCACCTGAACATGCAAACCCAAACTCCCAAGGACTACAAACATGAGGTGCAAAGGACTACAACTCCCACCACACTGCCCAAGAGTAACGCTAACCTGACTGGACTACAAACGCTTGGAATAAAGGACTACAACTCCCATCACACTGCCCAAGAGTAACGCTAACCTGACTGGACTACAAACGCTTGGAATAAAGGACTACAACTCCCATCACACTGCCCAAGAGTAACGCTAACCTGACTGGACTACAAATGCTTGGAATAAAGGACTACAACTCCCATCACACTGCCCAAGAGTAACGCTAACCTGATTGGACTACAAACGCTTGGAATAAAGGACTACAACTCCCACCACACTGCCCAAGAGTAACGCTAACCTGATGACACAGTTTGGACTACAAACATGAGGTGCAAAGGACTACAACTCCCACCACAACGCCCAAGAGTAACGCTAACCTGATGACACAGTTTGGACTACAAACAAGAGGTGCAAAGGACTACAACTCCCACCACACTGCCCAAGAGTAACGCTAACCTGATTGGACTACAAACGCTTGGAATAAAGGACTACAACTCCCACCGCACTGCCCAAGAGTAACACTAACCTGACGACACAGTTTGGACTACAAACATGAGGTGCAAAGGACTACAACTCCCACCGCACTGCCCAAGAGTAACGCTAACCTGATTGGACTACAAACGCTTGGAATAAAGGACTACAACTCCCAGCACACTGCCAAGAAACGCACCCGACAAAGCAAAAGATGACGTTTGATTGTCTAAAGCAAAAACACGCCACAAATCATCAACAAGAGCCTGGACTACAAAAGGAAAAGAAAAGACTACAACTCCCACCTCGCCTGGAAGTCATCAGCAATGTTTAGCGTCATGCCAGCTATTTTTGCTAACCTGTTTTAAACCATAAACAAACAGCTTGGACTACAAATAAGTGGAGAAAAGGACTACAAATCCCAATAAACCACGGGGACACACATCCGAAAGAGGCTGCGGTGGAAAAAAAAAAACTGGACGTGCACTTGATTTAAACCCCAAAACAACAAACAAACAAACAACAACGTCAACAATAACCTGGACTACAAATAAGTGGAGAAAAGAACTACAACTCCCAAGTCAAAAATACTACGGAAATTCACCGTCTCTGCTTTCAAAATCCAAAATTCACTCCAATATCCGCAATATATGAACCTATTCGTGCTGAACTATGCGAAAAATTTTGGGACCAACTGAACCAAAATGTATTTTAAAAATGTTCGGGTCTGGATTTGGACCCGAAACCTTGTGCCAAAAATCCAATTCTGTGAGCTCGGACTACAAACTGAGAAAGAACTACAAATCCCAATATTATCCTATGCTGCCGACGCACAATAATGTGACTGGAGGGAAAGTTTAATGCAGATCTAAGGGAGCGCTGGGACTACAAGTGGAAATGGACTACAAATCCCCCTAAAAAACTACAAATAACTTTATTTAAACTCACAAAGTCAAACACAAAGTTACTGCAGAAAAGACCGGGTCTTAGTCCAGGTTTAGTCCCTGATTTTGTACCAGGATTTAGTCCAAGTTTATCCCAGGGTTAGTCCTGTTTTAGTCCTGGTTTGGTTCTAGTTTAGTTCTGGTTTAGTCCTGGTTCAGTCCTGGTTCAGTCCTGGTTTAGAATTGAACCAGGACTAAACCGGGTCTAAACTGGGAACTAAACCAGGTCTAATTTAGTTAGGGTTTAGTCCCCGGTTTAGTTCTTGGTTTAGTCCCGGTTCAATCCCAGTTTAGACCTGGTTTAGTCCTAGATTATACCTGGTTTAGACCTGGTTTAGACCTGGTTCAGTCCTGGTTCAGTCCTGGCTTAGATCTGGTTTAGTCCTAGTTTAGTTCCAGATTAGTCTTGGTTTAGATCTGGTTTAGTCCTGGTTTAGTCCTGGTTTAGTCCTGGTTTAGTCCTGGTTCAGTCCTGGTTTAGTTCTGGTTTAGTTCTGGTTAAATTCTGGTTTAGTCCCAGATTAGTCCCAGATTAGTCTTGGTTTAGACCCGGTTTAGACCTGGTTTAGTCCTTGTTCAGACCTGGTTCAGACTTGGTTTAGTCCTTGGTCTGGATCTGAAGTCTTTTCTCCTCTGGTCGTCTCAGCTCCTGTTGCCATGGAAACAGACCAAATTTTCAAATTCCGTGAAAAACATTCAGATTTTTTTTTTTTTTTTGTCCCTGAGTGAAAGTGGGATGTTTTTTTATTTTATTTTATTTTGTGACACGGAGAGGAAGAAGAAAAGGAGGAAGAGGAGGAGGAGGAGGAGGAGAGGCGACGGCAGCTTCCACACGTCCGCACGCTTCACCGTTTTTTTGTTTCAACGTGTGCAGGAGGCTGAGGGTTCGATTCCCTGGACGAACCGAACGACCGAGTGTGTGTGTGTGTGTAAAAAAACAAATGTGATTTATAAATGTGAACGTGTGTGTGAGTGAAAAGAAAGAGAGAGAGAGAGAAAGAGAAAAAGAGACGGAAGAGAAAAGAGAAAGTGTAATTTTTATTCTGCGTTTACACGGAGCCAAGAAACTGAAAAAAAACCTAAAAACTAGACTCGATTTTCTGTAGAAATCTGCTCGAATCCATTTAAAGACGCACTGTGTAACTTTCCTGTCTCCGTGGAGATGTTTCCAGGACTAAACCAGTACTAAACCAAGACTAACCAGGACTAAACCAGGACTAAACCAGGGACTAAACCAGGGACTAAAATCAGGACTAAACCAGGACTAAACCATAGACTAAACTAGGACTAAACCAGGTCTGAACCAGGACTAAACCGGGTCTAAACCAGGTCTAATCCAGGACTAATCCAGGACTAAACCAGGACTAATCCAGGGACTAAACCAAAGACTAAACCATGACTAAACTAGGACTAAACCAGGTCTGAACCAGGACTAAACCGGGTCTAAACCAGGTCTAAACCGGGATTTAAACCAGGACTAATCCAGGACTAAACAGGACTAATACAGGACTAATCCAGGGACTAAACCAGGACTAAGACTGGACTAAGAGGGACTATAAACCAGGGAACCAGGGACTAAAACAAGACTAAACCAGGACTAAACCAGGGGACTAAACAGGACTAAACCAGGGACTAAACCAAGACTAAACCAGGACTAAACCAGGACTAAACCAGGACTAAACCGGGACTAAAACGGGTCTAAACCAAGACTAAACCAGGACTGAATCAGGACTGAACAAGGTTAATTCAGAATTTAAAAAAAACATCATGTAAACGTGTTTTGTTTTTTTTTCTGGTGTTTTTAGTCGTCAAAAACTCTTCTTCAAATCTGATCCTGTCTGTATTTTCTGGATTTTTATAAAGTCACACTGCGGGACATTCCCTCCAGCAGAAAAGCGACACAGTGCAGCTTTAAACGCTTTGCAGAATCACAGTTTTTATCCTGATTTGTGTGGCTGTGGCGAGACTCGTTTGTGCCAGTTTCCCCCGTGTGGTTTTCATGTTTTTAAAGTTTTAAAAAGTGCAATAAGACAAAAGTGTTTGAGTCGACGCGTCACAGCTTCAGAAACCAGGAGAAATAAAACAAATATTAAAACACCAGACTTAAAGTGAAACTAATCCGTGTTTCATTCGTTCATTCGTTTTTCAATATAAAACCAAAAATAAGAAAACGAAAAAATCAACAGTTTTCTTCATTATTTGTCTCCAAAACCAAAATGAAAAAACAGATAATGATTCGTTTTTTTCAGTTTCCGATTTTGTGTTTAAATGAAAAATGGAAAAAAACGGATAGCGATCCCGTTTACCGGACTTCTGTGACTGCGATGTAGGACTTTTTGCACCGCGTACGGACTGAACCAGGACTGATCCAGGTCCGAGACCAGAGCGGGACCAGAGCGGAACTGAGACCGGGACCAGAGCGGGACCAGACCAGACTCCGAGCTTTGACTCTGAGCCTCCGCGGGGTCCGAGCTTCAGCTTTGAGCTCCGGCCCTGGTTGTGGGTCTCAGTCTGAGTCTCCGGTCTCAGTCTCGGTCCCCAGTCTGGTCTCAGTCTGGTCTCAGTCTGGTCTCAGTCTGGTCTCAGTCTGGTCTCAG